AGAAGGAAAAGGGAAGAAGGGAAGGAAAGAAGGGAAGGAAAGAAGGGAAGGAAAGAAGGGAAGAAATGGAAAGAAGGGAAGGAAAGAAGGGAAGGAAAGAAGGGAAGGAAAAGGGAAGAAGGGAAGGGAAGGGAAGTAAAGGAAAAGGAAAGGAGTGGAGGGAAGTAAGGGACAAGGGAACGAGGGGAGGGAAGGAGGGAAGGAAAGAAGGGAAGGGAAGAAGGGAAGGGAAGGAAAGGGAAGAAGGGAAGGGAAGAAAAGGGAAGAAGGGAAGGGAAAGACGGGAGGGGAGGAAAGGAAAGAAGGGAAGGAAAAAAGGGAAGGAAAAGGGAAGAAGGGAAGGGAAGTAAAGGAAAAGGAAAGGAGTGGAGGGAAGTAAGGGACAAGGGAATGAGGGGAGGGAAGGAGGGAAGGAAAGAAGGGAAGGGAAGAAGGGAAGGAAAGGAAAGAAAAGGGAAGAAGGGAAGGGAAAGAGGGGAGGGGAGGAAAGGAAAGAAGGGGAGGGAAGGAGGGGAGGGAAGGAAAGAAGGGAAATAAAGGAAAAGGAAAGAAGGGAAGGGAAGGGAAAGAAAAGGGAAGAAGGGAAGGGAAGGAGGGGAGGGAAGGGAAGGAAAGAATGGAAGGGAAGAAGGGCAGGAAATAAAAGAAGGGAAGGAAACTGGAAGGAGGGGAGGGAAGGAGGGAAGGAAAGGAAAGAAAGGAAGGGAAAAGGGAACAAATGGAAAGAAGGGAAGGGAAGAAGGGAAGGAAATGGGGAGGGAAGGAGGGGAGGAAAGGAAAAGAAAGAAAGGAAGGGAAGAAATGGAAAGAAGGGAAGGGAAGGGAAGGAAAGAAGGGAAGGAGGGGAGGGAAGGAGGGAAGGAAAGGAAAGAAGGGAAGGGAAAAAGGGAACAAATGGAAAGAAGGGAAGGGAAGAAGGGAAGAAAGAAGGGAAGGAAATGGGAAGGAGGGGAGGGAAGGAGGGGAGGGAAGGAGGGGAGGGAAGGAAAGGAAAGAAAGGAAGGGAAGAAGGGAAGGAAAGAAGGGAAGGAAAAGAAAGAGGTGAAAGAGAAGGGAAGGGAAAGGAAGTGTGAAAAATTGTCATGTCACATTTTTCAGTGCCATCGTAACTTCAAACAGTCATTAAACGAACTGTTGTAAATCGAGGACTACCTGTATAACAACCATAACCATCCTATCTCCTCAGAACTCCGTTCCTACCTCCAGATGCTGCTGGATTTCCTGCGCCAGGCCGAAGAGTTCTTCCGTACCCAGGTCGACTTTTCCTTCTTCACACATTCGGTCCCCCAGTTTGTGGAACAAATTTACGGGTATCTCTTCTCCCCTCGAGGGCACCTGGGCACCCAAGGTACTTGATGGGCCTCCCCTGGTGAATTTTGGGCAGCAGGGTGGGGGGGAAATGTAGTTGTGCCTGTGGCAGACCATGTTCTGACCGAGGCTTCCCGAGAGCATGAACCAAATTCCTTGTCCTGATAAAACAAACCCTTTTTATTAATTGACTGTGAATTCTGCTCATTCACCTCCAGCCAAGTCTTTCAAGGGAGGATTTACGGTCACA